CCAGCTGCCTCTCACTGACCATCCGCCTTTGACTTCTTTGGAGCAGATTTCCTTGGAAGGCGGCAAAGAACAATCACGTGTTATGGGGGGTCCCCACTACGCTCCCGGAGCCCAGGCCCACTGCGGAGGCTCCCCAAGAGCTGTGCACCTACATTTCCGGAGAGGACATGGGCCTCTTGCTGGCCGGCTTGCTGCCAGAACTGTCTTTACTGGTCTCTGAAAGGAACAGGAGGCCGCGGGTGAGCACCCTGCCTCGGCCTCCTAGGCAAGTGGGACTGCAGGCACGTGCCACTCACCTTGCAGCCACCTGACTTGCGTGGCGGGGCCGTAGCCCTTCTCGTTGCGCGCGGCGATGCGGAAGATGATGGCAGGCTTGGTGGTATAGTCAATGTGGGCGTTGGAGAGGCTGGAGGACTGCACGAGGCACGACGGGCTGGGCCCGCAGTACACGCGCATGAAAGCCAGCTGTGCCGGCGCCGAGCTCTTGGGCTCGCCACCTGCCTGCGAGCTCTGGATGGCCAGGTACACAGAGTACTCGATGATCTTGCCCGAGGTCACGGAGGGCGGCTCCCACGTGAGGTGCGCACCGTCAGGACTCTGCGGGCGGGAAGAAGGGAGGCTTGCAGGGCCCAGCTCTGCCCCTCCGCCCAGAAGGAACTCACCAGGGGCCCCGACCCCCGGGATGCTCCTAGGCAGCCAGAGAGCTCCAGAGACCTCCCCGTGCCTTGGACAGGAGACGGTGGCAGAGACAGGCGGCCACCTCTGCCCACCCCCAGCGAGACTCACTTTGCTGATTTTAATGGCACAAGGGGCCCCAGGGAAACCCGGCAGACACGTCTTGAAGGCGGAGATCTCACTGAAGGGACCCCGGCCGCAGGCATTGATGCCGGCCACACGGAACTTGTAGGCTGTGCCTGGCTGCAGCTCTTGCTTCTTCAGCTGGCTGTAGTCAGGGACGGCGCCTGAGTCATCCTGGGGCCCGACGGGAGGGCAGGAGAGCAGAGGGAGGAGAGTGGTGTGAAGCTAGGGTCCAGCCCAGCACCACCAGGCCCACACTGACACCTGCAGACTCGTGAGGACTACAAGGTAGGGAGTGAGGTGGGGACGCCGAGCCTGACAGAAGGACCTTGGCCTGGCTGCAGGTGGGTTCACAGGGGGCGCTGCTGTGAGCCCCACCCACCCCTGCTCTGTGCCTGCGAGGCCAGCCTTGGGGCCAGGCAAGGCAGCCAGGGCCCAGGGACACTTACATCCGATGGGACAGCATCATCCGACGGCAGGAAATAGTGTGTCACCATTACATTGGTGCCCTTAATGACCCCCACATCAAACCACTGGTTCTCCTTCTTCACAGGGGCCTTGCTGGGTGGCGGCGGCAAGTCTGGCTTCTGGAAGGCAGAAACGGAGAGATCAGGGCCCCGGCCCTCAGGACCTGGAGGCAGCTCCGAGCCCCGCGGGCCCGACACCGCTGACTCACCACGCCCAGGGACTCGATGCCATTGGCCACTTCGGTCAGGGTAGCTGCCGCTTGCAGCTTGGCCGGGCTGGCAACCACAACTGGCTGGGGAGCCACAAATGTGTTGGATGGAGCCAGGCCTGGGAAGAAGGTGATGTGAGTGAGGAAGCTCAAGCCCCTGGGCCCTCAAGGCCCATCCTGCCCCAGGGCAGCCCTGCTCACTCTCAGTGGCTGTGGGGGGCAGCAGGGCCACGGTGCTGGGCACGGCGCCCGCCAGCTCGTTGAGGCAGTTGCCCTCGATGGCTGGGTCATTGAGGCTGTCAGCTGGGGCCAGCGCCTCGGTAGGGAGGTGGTGCTGCTGCTGGGCTTGTGCCTGTGCCTCCTGCAGCTGCTGCTGCTGCTGGACCAGGGCCGCCAGCTCCTGCTGCGTCAGTACGATGGGGATGGTGGTGGCCTGGCCCTCCTGGCCCTCAGCAGAAAGGTGACCCAGTTCTGCCTGGGTCACGGCCGCTGCCGCCTCAGACGTGTCCATGGGCTCCCCAGTACCTGCTCCAGGGCCAAGAAAAACACTACTCAAGAGGAATCCTAGGGCCAGAGATGTAGCTCAGGGTGCCACTAAGTGCAAGGTCCTGAGTTTGATCCCCGGTACCCCAAACGAAAAAAAAAAAAAAAATGGAGGGGAAGTCTGGCTGGTAGGCCTGGCCCATGGGAGCTTTTATCCTGCCTCCTCCACCCACTTCTACCTTGGCCACTGCCCACCTAGGGACCACAAGGGCACTCTTCTCACCTTGGGCTGCCCTGTTCACCACCTGTCACCACCCACCGGGGCACCTACCCATGACGGCCTGCTGTGCAGCCTGCAGCACAGCCTGGATGGCCAGGGCCTGAGCTTCCTCAGTGGCCGCAGCCTGGGCAGCTGCCTCGGCAGCGGCAGTCACAGCCAGCTCCTCAGGGGTGAGGCCCGTGACCATCAGGGTGGTGGTGCCCGCCTGGGCTTCAGCCATGAGCTCCTGGGGAAGTGATAACTGCTCTACTTCAGACTGCGTTGGCTGCGGGGGCTGCACCACTACGGTGGCCACCACAGCAGAGCCGGTGGGCTCCTGGCCTGAAGACGGGTCCCCCGTGCTGCTCAGGTCCACAGCCGCCTGGAGCTCTGTGGGCTGGGCAGCGGCCAGGACCTCAGCCGACTCCCCCATGAGGGGCGCAGAGGCGGACTGCAGGAGCTGTCGTGGTGGCAGCTGCTGGCGGGGCCCAGGGGAGACCTGGAGTTCCTCGGGGGGCTGCGGGTGTCAAGAGCAGAGAACAGCATGTCAGGAGGTCCTGTGTCCGCCCGACAAGGGAGCCTCTGTCAGTGAGGAAAGCAGCCAGAAAGCAGCCCGCTCATCCGGGGAGACCCGTGGGCCTGCGGTGTCATTCACAATGGGCCATCTGGACACCACACTTGACAAGAGAGGGCCTAACTGTCCTTAAAGAGGCCTTGGGGGCTGGAGCAAAGAGCAGGTGGAAACCAGCGTGCCCACAGTGAAGGGACACACAGAGCCATGCAGCTCGGGAGACAAACCTCCCCAAGCCAGGGCTGCAGATGACTGCGGCCTCACTTCCCTTGGCACAGCCTTTTATGGTGTGGAAAGGGAGTCATTTGCGGTCCAAGAGCGACACCTGGTGTCCAGCTCTAGAACAGCGTGGCCAGAGGCATAGCAGGAGGGCAGGCAGGCCACCAAAAGGACCCTCAGGATCTTACCGGCACTGAGGGGCCTGGGACTGGCGTGGACTGTGTCACAGTGGTCACCGCCCGTGGCAGTGTGGAGGACACAGTCGTGATGGTGCTGGCACTGGTCATATTCATGCTGTCACCCTGGGTGCTCTCCACCTCTCCCTGATCACCAGCGGCCGGTGGTGGGTCTATGGGGGAGTGAAAGGCAAGAGTTTACACATGGACCTCCACCCCCTCTCAAGGGGACCAGAGAGAAGGGACACTCTCCTGGAGACCTCTGTGCATGGATGGCACAACAGGACAGGACAACCCACCCCGTTATCAGCATGGGGACACAGGACAGGCCAGCCGCCTGCACCCACCTTGGTTTGAGCTCATGTTGGAAGTGACAGTGGTGGCCGTATGCGTGGTGCCTGTCTCGTGAGTCTCACAGGGTGGGTTGGAGCACACCCTCTGTGTCGGGAAGGGAGCCAGCAGCATGGCCCCAGCCTGGCTGGGACCAGGGGGCACCACGGTGGGCTCCAGGGTCCTGTGGGCAGGGCCAGCGTCAGGGAGCAGGGTGCCCACACCGACGGACATGGTGGTGCCTGTGGAAGTGGTCTGGTGTGTCTCGCAGGGGCGGCTGGTGGGGGGCTGCTGCCCGCCCTCAGGCTGGCCCACTGCGCCATTGGAGGAGGCAGTGGTGGCCGTGTGGGTGGTGCCCGTCTCGTGGGTCTCGCATGGCGGGTTGGAGCACACCCGCTGGGCGCTGCCTGCATTGGAGGTAGTGGCGGTGTTGGTGGTGCCCGTCTCGTGGGTCTCGCACGGCGGGTTAGAGCAGACCTGGGTCACGGTGGCCGAGGGGCACAGCAATGCCTCCAGGGCAGTCACAGTCATGGTGGTGCCGGCCG